CGCAGGAGGTCGCCGAGGAGGCGGTCGCCCCGGCAACGTGAAATACTGCAGCAGCTGATGTCGATCGCTCACACGGGCGACACGCAGGAGGTCGCTGAGGAGGCGGTCGCCCCGGCAACGTGAGGAGGCGGTCGCCCCGGCAACGTGAGGAGGCGGTCGCCCCGGCGACGTGAGGAGGCGGTCGCCCCGGCGACGTGAGGAGGCGGTTGCCCCGGCGACGTGAGGAGGCGGTCGCCCTGGCGATGTGAGGAGGCAGCGCGGGTACGATGCAGTCGCCTTGACGACGAGATGAGGCTGTGCAAGAAGGCAGTTGCCCTGGCAACGTGAGGAGGCAGCGCTGGGATGATGCAGCTGCCTTGACAATGAGAGGGGGCTGTGCGAATGGAAATGATGTGGTCGCCACGGCAACGTCATGAAGCAGCACAAAAGGGATGCAATTGCCTCGGAAACGTATTTAAGTAGTACAAGACCGGTCTCTGATTTTGCTGTTTCTGAAACGAAAGATTCATGGAAGTAGAATCGTACCTCTCTCTCTGTAAATCATGCCAGGATGGAGTTACTGGACGGTTCGGTGTGTACACGATGCGTCCGATTATTCAATCTAAGGTTGCATGCATGCGCTTGTGCTTGTTTGCTTTTAACGTCATACGACGCTCGCTGATGATTGTGCTATTTGGTAGATTTGGCACAGCATACGCTACGTGGCCACGCGATATCTGCCTGTGTGTCATGATGTCGAATTAAATCATACTTATACGGGTTTACCACAGGTATTCTAGCAGGGCCATATTAGGTCAAGGACATTCTGGTCTTGAGACCAGAGCCAGGACGGGCCAGCAGTTTTATCTGCTCATGAGAGGTCTGTCTATATATGCTAACCTCCTAGACTACCTCTAACCCATTAGTTACACACGCTACGCTAACTCTAAAGCTATCTTGAATACAGGGCCGTAGACTGAGCAAATTTCTAGGGAGGGGGGCAAAATTTCATGACTCAACTGTGTAATGATGAGCGACGGGCGTAGCTCTTTATCGACGTCCATAGTGTGGTAGGGGTGCGGGGTCTGAGACAAGGCTTTCATGGATAAGTGATAAAAAAAATCACGTTGGGGTTATTTACGATTATTAGCTAAGCTTCTTTTTTTTTGCTCTAAAATCTAGTGGGGGCAGCTGCCCCCTTCCCCCCCCAAGAAGCTACGGCCCTGTAATAGCTACTTTGAAGCTGCCTTTGCTGCTAGAGAACAATAGGCCGATACCCGTATAAAACAACGTGGCTCGATATGTCGCAGTCGGAGAGTCGTGGGGGTAAATTTAAAACTGTCCGTGGACCATCAAAGGTGCTGGACTGCCCCCATACGGTATACCTGAACAGCTGTGACCTATATCAATATCATAAGGTATCAGTAGAGAGGGGTCATCCACTGGTTAACATACCCCTGATGTGACGAAATGCGACAAGTAGTGAATAGTACAGTGGCGTGGGTAGAAAATTACAGAGCACCATTGCACTACCCGAGTAGCCCCTTCCACTCCTGCTACTGGGAGCTAAGGGCAATGTTGAATGTTCACGTTTTTATCAGACTGCTAGGTAATAAAGATCTGTTGTAAAACTAACGCTGTCTTCATAATCTAGTAATAATTTTGTAGCTTATCTCGATGATAAGGAGATCAGCATCACTGCTCTTAATTGCAAATCCGAAATGTGACTTCGTACGCACGCACGCTCAAAGTTGAAGGAAGTGTTAGAGGAGGTACTGCGTATGGCTTGTAAGTGAGGTACACGTCTGTTTTATTGGAGCATGCTTCCAATTTCTTGCATTCTGGATTATGCAAGAAATTAATTGCATTATGCAATGTGGAACATTCTCCCAATTCCCAATTCTGCCCCATTCTCCCAATCAAAAATATTATATACAATTTTATTATTTTCATTTTATTTTGTAGCCGATCGCAAAGGTAAGGAGTCGAGGATGGCTAATCTCTCTATTAAAATCCAAAAACTAAATATTAGCACGCACGCACGCACGCACGCACGCACGCACGCACGCACGTATTGAAGAAAAACTGCTGTTAGGGAAAGTGCTGAAGGAATGTTGTTTGTGAGCTAGGTACACGGTGCTTTACTGTACATGCTCCTAATTTCCACCGTTAGATTTCAGCTAGAAAATCTGCAGTAAACGGTTGGAGTTTTGTAGGTAAATTGGGTGATCATACCCACGAGTTTCAATAATTCATGATTTATGCATCTAATACATGCAGCTTGTAATAATATTAGACAAGATAACCAACCATGGTGGATCTGTGGCTTGGTTTTTTGTGCCCCTACTACTAGATGTTTCTGGACATAATACAATCAAAATCACAATAATAGTAATTTGTCACTAATTGACATTAAAATAGGGGTATATACGGGTAAGACACATAAGGGACATATAAGGGTAAGACATCTATGTCTGGGTCATTTCTTTAAATTCCGCAGAGGCAGTGAAATGTCGTTCACAGCATGTTCAATCTTATTTTCTTACAAGTCAGCTATACGTAGTTTATAGTGAGACCACACGCACGCGCGTACTCACACACACACACATGCACATCGCAATAGTTATGCAATTTAATATCGGGGCGATTGAAATATTATTTTTTTCATTTATTACCTGTTTTTTTTGCACGGATGTATTTTGCTAGCTTTTTGCTATGGCTACGCGGGGTTTGGTATGAACACATTCACGCAATTCCACACACACGCGCACACGCACATACACACGCACGCACGCACGCACACACACACACGCACGCGGCCTTTAATAACTTGAGAAACCGCCCCCTAGCGTCAGTGACTGACATGCAATTTGCCACATGTCGTTCACACGGCTTGTACACATACAGTAACCCTCCGGGAAGGCGCATATGCGAGAGAAGTTACGGGTCCTTGAAAACGCCGAAAAACGCGAAATTCCGTGGCGTGAAACCCGTTTTCGCATCAATCATTTGACCTTCGTTATATAACTAGAAATGCGGCACCTACGCATTTTGTTTCCGGTAAAATAAATAATATCAGCACACTTGTAAATGAAAATAAACAGGTTTAAACACGTGCGATGGTTATACGTTATGAGCTAGTATTATAATAAATACACAAACGAGTTCATTTTAGCTCGGCAGTAGCGATGATGAGTATTGTGTGAGTCCCGTACGTGACGCTTTGTGACCAGCAAACGCCGTACGAAGAACCACGCCATATAGGAGACGATTTCGGTGTTCTCTATTTGGTTCCATAGCGCAAATATTCTGCTGGAAATTTCTGTAACTTTATGGCGAATTTATGGCCGTGTCAAGGGTTCGTACCCTGCTGTGCAAATTCTCAAGCTGATTGGGATTTGGAGAGGGAGCCTAGTCAATGTGAATTGTGTACATGGGGTTCATTATATTTTCCACAAAATCTAGGTATGGACGAGGGTATTATTCTTTACGCATCTCTTCGCATTTATTCTTTACGGTTATTTACATTTAATATGCTTTTTTATTTTTCTCTAACATCCAAGGGGCACACAAACACTAACAGCTGCCTTTTTTACGGTTATATACATTTAAGGCCTTTATTTTATTTTTATTGGATTTTTTATATTTTTATTTTTATTTTTCTCTACCATCTACGGGACGACTGCTCCCCTGGCCCTCTTCCCTTCAGAGGCTACGGCCCTGGTATCTTGAATATAGCCGCCATTCGCAGATGGGAAAACGGAAGTGGGGCCATTACCAGAGGTTGGAGATACAAACGGTGGAGGTCCATTCTCAGTGTTTCCCAGGTCAAAAAATACGCCGATTGTCAGTTCCCGCTGAATATTTTTCCCGATTTTATAATTGATATTTCGGTTTACTTAATTGTGTTCCGGTTGACTTCTATTCGCTAATCACGCAAAATATTATCCGGTATATATATCCCTGTTCCACAATAATTAAAATGGTCAAACTCCGCGTCCAGAAAATGATTTCCCCCCTCCTCATTCACAAATTGGGGGCATTTCTGGAACACCGGTGTGAACATAGCGCGCCGTGGAAGCAACAACAACAACAACAATAATGTTATAATAACAATAACAATGTTTGCGGCACTTGAGAATCCACCACTGAGAACGATATGTCCCAGAATTGATCTCTGACTTGATCCCTGATCGGTGATTACCGATTGATTAATCCATCGATTACAGAACAACGATATCTACTCGGTGTCGTTATAAAAATTGTTGTTTCAAACTCACCGATGATTTTCGTATAGCTTTCACTCGAACAACTCCCCGCGACATCCTAGCAGTAAATCTGTGCTCGAGACTTAAGCCCTTTGATATTTGCTAGAGCCTCAAACAGCTGCCTGTTTATTTATACCCAACAGCGACGGCAGTGGGTGGTGGAGGAGGAGCGAGAGGAGGAAGGTTACTGTAGAATATAGCCATAGCCGGTATATGCAGCGTTAACATGTGTGTGTGTGCGGGCAGCGCGGATATATCTCCCCACCATCATGGTACCACTCGATCCGGTTGTTACCACTCCACCCACAGCTCGGATCATCGATCGTTAGTTAGTGTCGAGCAAAATCCGAACTTCTAATCTTACTCGGATCGGTTTAACACAGGACGGTGTGTGTTTGTGCGTGTAGACTTAATTGCGAGAAGCGGAGGCCTGGATAGTCTCTAGACTATACGAGACGCATATATATATACACTGCTGTGCCCCTCGTACGTGTGGGGTCGATTAGCTCAACACTCGATGCCAGTGAGGTAAAAATTTATTAGCGATGTGCTGTTTGTGTTGTGTCTGTGTATGTACGAACCATCCGGACCCTTCTGTTGAGAATCAATCTATAGTTGCTGAGTCTTCATTTGGTTCTTCTTACGCGGGAAAACACAGGTTTGTGGCGTTTCGTCTACCAGTGGACGTATTGTAGACGTTCCTTGGAAACGTCCTAAATTTTGCTGCTTTCCAAAAATAACAGAACCGTTTTCTTGCAAAATTTGTTTGGTTGACGTGTCTGTTTCTTCGTCAGTACTTGAAGATTAAGACGGACAAAACTTTCTGCAGCTCGTTATATATATATATATGTGTGTGTGTATCTTTTTTCCTAATCTTTAATCTGAATCTTCAATCTTTGATCTTAATATTAAATTCCAATCTCCCAGTCGTAATAAATCCTCCGCAGGCGACTCGAAGGACATCGGCCAACAGCAGCAGCAGGAGACTTACGTCCTGCGTCTGTCCGAAGGCTCGCAGGACACGTACGTGCTGAGCAAGGAGAGCCTCGCACGGCTCCAGCAGGGCGACGTCCCCAGCACGATCATCCTGCAGCAGCGGGGCGCCGGCGGCGGCGACGGAGAGTCGACATACATTGTGCAGACAGAGGCGGACCAGCAGGCGGCGGAGACGACGACGACAACTCACGCCGCCGAGATACTGCAGCAGCTGATGTCGATCGCTCACACGGGCGACACGCAGGAGGTCGCCGAGGAGGCGGTCGCCCCGGCAACGTGA